TTGTTGCATGCTCTCTCTCAGTGATGGCTGAGTGTGGCAAGTGGATGGATGGTACTTTTGTGGCAATTTCCTTTGAGGATTTCTGCATTCGTACAGAAGGAAAAATGAAAAAAAAAAGAATATGGATATGATGCTCAAAAACTTGTGTATTGTTACAAATGTGTCGAAAGAACGAGTCCGACCCTCTCTGGTTGATCTGTTGAGGCCACCTTTGGCAGAATTCTTTCCCTCTTATTCGAAGACACCACAGACGATTTCTGTCTTTAAGAAAACAGCGAAACAAGGCGAATGCTGAACAGCAGACAGTGCGCAATGATTCCACCTCCGAACTATCTTCCCACTTCGTTCATTTCACCCTTTCTTTTGCGTCTTTAGAAATTGAATGTCTCATTCTTCACTAGTTTCATATACTTTGGAGAGATGATTGCTTGAAAACCTGCTCCAAATTATTCTAACGATTAACCGATTCTAATGTCTTTCTATACCCCGTATGAGTTACATCTTTGTTTTCTTCGTTGAGATTCCAGTCACATCGTAATTTCACAACCTGACCATCAGCCATAAATTTTCGTCTTTTTTGAATACTTCCGAGAGACTTCTATGACAAGTTCGGCAAAATAATTACACCGAAAACGGCTTCTCATATAGCTTTTCATGATCCATAAAACCTGTATCGTCATTTCCTGTTAATACTTCGATCAAATACCAATCTCACATCACTTCTCCTCACTGCGAGGTGGTTTTGATTATAATTTTACGTGATCTGTTTGTCTGTCGTCCCCATGTTTGTTTTCATGAACTTGCCCTATACTTATTTTCAAATATTTCGCTGCCAACATGTCGATTATGCGAAAATTTGATTTTTCTCCATTGTGTTAGAGGAAATGTGCTATGAAACTATACGGTAATGGGCACACTCTCACGGAGTGTTCGGATTCATCCGGTTAGTCGTTCGGTAGTTGCTGATGAAATGAACTTATTGCATCATATCATCAATGAAGCATTGGTGAGATCTGAATTTCTTTATTATGCTATCAGGGAAAACAAACTTAATATGAAAACCAAACAGATAATGAAGAGTGCATCTGAATGGACAGTAAATAACAAACGATTGATAATGCTTTGTGATAACAACAATAATATCAAATAATATGAAAAATCTACAATTGTTCACTTCGGTTCGTTACAGTGAAATATGTGCGTGCTTAAATACGAAATAAAGCACCGAAAATTTGGAATTACAAGGGTGATAACGAAAGAAAGAGCGGTTATAAAGTGGAAAATAGCGAAGCTTAACAACGATCATCCATTTGTGACTCATTGCGTTCGTCAGTGCTGTGTATAGAAAACAAACGGAAAAGAAGATATGTGGTGTAGAATACGGATGCATCTGTCAAAATTGCGTCTTTTTGGATTTGGCTAACAAAATTGGGATGGATGGATTGATTGAAGGGAAATGTTCATGAAAAGCCGAAATGGTGTTGCTTTTTTAAAAGGTTCGTTTAATAAATTGTCAAACAAATATGAAATTCTCAATTCCAAATAATCAAAGAATGAAAGGAGTATTTCAATCAAGATGTTCACCTTCTTTATCCTACTAAACGAAATATTAAGTACATCCAATCAATTCAACTAATGTAACTCAAAGCAGCAAAGTACGGAAATGGCTATTCACTGATATAAAATAATTATTGATGAACAATTAGTGAAAGTGATAATAAAACAATAAAAACAAAACAAAAATGAGTGCAGTTAATAAAATAGTGATAAATAAATAAAAATTAACCAAAACTAAAGCGACAGGAACAGTAATAAAAAATTGAATAAACGAAATGTCTCATAAATCAATTTCAATCACACCAAATAAGAAGCAATAAAAATGATCGAATAATTTAGCGTCGTGTTGAGTAGAGTACAAGAAAAGCTATTATCCAATAATATAGAATAAGAATCAACGTCTTAGTTATTGAGCTAAACACTGCTAGAAAACGAATAATAACAACTGAAATTCTGTTCACCACAACTGATCATCGGTAACTCTTACGAGAACCCTCAGCCAGGAACTGAAATTTGGGGACTATTTTAATTTTTTTTGGGGGAGGGGAGGGCGGGGGGAGGAACCGGAATGGACTAATATATATAGCAATCAAAATGCTCACAGCTCCACCAACTGTGTACCGGAACTTCAAAAAATTTGCGCCCCACGTGGTTAAGGACCTGAACTCATCACGAATGTATATTATAAATGATGAAAA